CTTAGGTCACGTGGTATCTGAAGAGGGCATACAAGTTATGGAAGGAAAAATAGATGCTGTCAGGGACTGGCCAAAACCACGCGACAAACATGAACTAAGGAGTTTTCTAGGATTATGTTCTTATTATCGAAGATTTGTGGAAGGATTCGCCAATATAGCTGCTCCACTTCATCGATTAACAGAAGAAAAATCAACATTCAATTGGACCCAAGAATGCGATTCCGCATTTAGAAGATTGAAAGGAGCATTATGTACGAACCCAGTGTTGTCCTATCCTGATCACAAAGGCATGTTGATTTTGGACACAGATGCAAGTAACACCAGTGTTGGAGCTGTCCTTTCACAAATCCAAAATTCACAAGAAAATGTCGTGGAGTACTACAGCAGAACATTATCAAAGCCAGAACGAAATTATTGTGTCACCAGAAGAGAGTTGCTTGCCATAGTAAAAGCAGTCGACCATTTTCATAACTATCTCTACGGACGCAAGTTTCTAATTCGAACAGATCACGCAGCTCTAAAATGGCTTTTAGAAATGAAAACTCCTGAAGGACAGCTTGCTAGATGGATTGAGAAATTGCAGCAATACGATTTCCAAATTAAACATCGCCCTGGAAACCTGCATAAAAATGCTGACGCTCTGTCTAGACGGCCATGTAAAGAAGATTGCAAACATTGTCAAAGAATCGATATACATGAGAAAAACACTAGTCCAGCTGTAAGAAGAACGGGCCTGATCGTCGATGACAAATGGACTACCAAGCAAATGAGAGAAGATCAGGAGGCAGACCAGGACATCGGGCAAATTCTACATCTTAAAGAAAATGATGAATGTAGGCCAGAATGGGGGGAAGTGTCAAACAAAAGCTTGATTTACAAGGCGTTGTGGGCCCAGTGGAACTCTCTGGCCGTAGAAAATGGTTTGCTCAAAAGAGTTTGGGAAAGTGCCGATGGGAAATCCACTAAGAGCCAACTGGTAATCCCAAAAGACCGAGTGGAAGATGTATTAAAAGAAATACACGACGGAACCTCAGGGGCACATTTCGGAGTTAACAAGACTTTGGACAAAATTCGGGAACGTTTTTACTGGGTTCACTACCATGAAGACGTTAAAAGCTGGTGCCGAAAATGCGACATCTGTGCTACCAGTAAAGGCCCTAAACTAAGATCTCGAGGGCCCATGAAACAGTACATCGTTGGTCTTCCATTTGAGAGAATAGCGATAGATGTAGCAGGACCGTTCCCAGAGTCAGAGCGTGGTAACAAATACATCTTAGTTATCATGGATTACTTCAGTAAATGGCCAGAAGTTTTCGCTATTCCCAATCAAGAAGCCATCACTGTTGCCCAGGTGCTAGTGGACGAAGTTTTTAGTCGTCATGGTGTGCCACTAGAGTTACATTCAGACCAGGGACGAAACTTCGAATCTGCTATCTTTAAGAAAGTTTGTGAGATCATGGGCATTCGTAAGACAAGGACAACACCTTTACACCCTCAATCTGATGGCATGGTGGAACGATTCAATAAGACCATAGAGGAACACCTGACAAAAGTGGTCGCAAAGAACCAACGAGATTGGGACAAGCATTTGCCTCTATTTTTAATGGCTTACAGAGCGGCTGTTCACGATTCAACAGGTGAAAGTCCGGCTAGAATTGTTTTTGGAAGGGAACTCAGGTTACCTTGCGATCTGATGTTTGGAGTACCCGAAGAAGAACGAAGAGAAATCCGAGAATATGCCGACGAAGTAAGGGCACGACTTCTGGGTATCCATGATTTTGCTCGGGAGCATATTCAACTAGCCAGTGACCGAATGAAGACCAGATACGACTTGAAGGCCAATTCGGTCGGATTTCAAGAAGGTGATTTAGTGTGGTTATATAACCCAGTAAGGAAGAAAGGAGTATCACCGAAATTGTCTTCAGCATGGGAAGGACCCTATAGAGTAATCAAGAGGATCAATGATTTGGTTTATCGAGTCCAGCGCAACACCAGGAGTAAGATGAAAGTTGTACATCTGGACAGGTTGGCGAAATATCATGGGCGAGAAGTTGATCGGGACGATCAACCTTAAGAGGAGGGCAGTGTCACAATAAGCTAAACGTCCGCCAGGCTGTCAAGAATCTCTCGGTATTATCTCTTGAGTATACTAGAATCTAGTTAATTCGGGAAAATAAGATTATCGTGTGTATTCTAGATTTTACAGGAATAGATTTAGAGATATATAAAGGCGGCTATTGCTTTGTAGTTTTAAGTTAAAGTTTGACTGTGATACGAGTTAAATAGTGATTATTGAGTTGTAAAGTTTAATTGTTGAGTTAGTTATTAAAGTAATTAGTGTCAGAGTGTTTTGTTAAGTGGAATAAATTATTGCTGTGTTAATTGGACTTTGATTTTTTGGAATAAACGAAACGAACCACGAACCCAAGAATTTTGTCAGCAGGCAACCCAAAGCTGCGACAATACTTACACTATAATTTGGCCCATAGTGTAGGTAGGTACTTCTTAGAAGATCAGACTCCATATCCCTAACAACAAATTGAAAGACATTATTCTAATGAAGGCTTATTTTGTAAATTTATTACTAAATGACAGCTGTTAATAAGATAAAGTCAGTACCTCAATCAAAGACAATTCGTATGCATGCAACACGTTACCTATTATTCTTGAATTAATCAATTTCAATTATAATTACACAAAGCAAATATTATTATTTAAAATGATTCACGAATAATGTAACTGAATAAAATAACGATAATATATTGTCCGATGTAAATTATCTTGCACCAATATTAGTCCAAGCAATAAAGGAAGTTTACCTCAACATAATTAGAAGTTAACATTTTTTGGGGGGGATCGGTTCATTTTCATGTGCTTAATAACATATTAAGTTTGCGACCTTGTACTTCCATAGGGTTTTCAGTTAGGGGTGGTATTTAGGGTTAATTTGCAGTTTATGGAGAACGCTCCTTAAAAAAAGGACCAATAGCAAAAAGTTTCAAATTAATGTTGTAGCTGAAGCTTTTTGCTATAAAAAACTCAGCGACAGCACCCCTCTATCTTCTATAGTTTTTTTTCTGCAGCGTCTTGAATAGCAGCATGTTTTTGTTCAAGGTCACTGAATCAACGTTTTGCCATTTTGCGCGCATTTGTTGCAGCAGCGGCCGAATGCATAATCCGATTTCAATTTTTCAAACACCACATTATTTCTAATGAAATGCACTCTCCAATGCTTTTTTGTTCGAATTTTTTGCTTGAAAATTAAGCGAGCACGGACTTGTCTAATGTGCGAGGAAGTTGTAAATTGCATCGAAAACTACCCCTTTCTTGCATTCACTCTAATTTCTAAACGGGGCCAAATTTTTTGTGACAGTTTTCGACAATCGGCAGCCAATTTATTCCTCCCATAATGCCCCAGCGGATTTTTTTTCGTTAATCACTTAATGACTTATTGGCCTGAAAACGTCGCGCGCGATTTTTCAAAAAGTAAAAAAAAATTAAAATTGTCGCATAGCGCTGAAATTTGGTACGATGGCTTTATTTATTGTTCTCATGATTATACTGCAATTTTATATCATGTGAAGCAATTAAAATTGCAGTATATTCGTAAGAACAATAAATAAGGCCATCGTACCAAATTTCTGCGCTATGCGACAATTTTAATTATTTTTACTTTTTGAAAAATCCCGCGCGGCGTTCTCAGGCCAATAAGTCATTAAGTGATTAACGAAAAAAAAAATCCGCTGGGGCATTATGAGAGGAATAAATGGGCTGCCGATTGTCGAAAACTGTCACCAAATATTTGGCCCCATTTAGAAATTAGAGTGAATGCAAGAAAGGGGTAGTTTTCGATGCAATTTACAACTTCCTCGCACATTAGACAAGTCCGTGCTCGCTTAATTTTCAAGCAAAAAATTCGAACAAAAAAGCATTGGAGAGTGCATTTCATTAGAAATAATGTGGTGTTTGAAAAATTGAAATCGGATTATGCATTCGGCCGCTGCTGCAACAAATGCGCGTAAAATGGCAAAACGTTGATTCAGTGACCTTGAACAAAAACATGCTACTATTCAAGAAGCTGCAGAAAAAAAACTATAGAAGATAGAGGGGTGCTGTCGCTGAGTTTTTTATAGCAAAAAACTTCAGCTACAACATTCATTTGAAACTTTTTACTATTGAACCATCCCTTTGAGCAGCGTTCTCCATAAACCGCAAATTACCCCTAAAAACCACCCCTAACTGAAAACCCTATGGAAGTACAAGGTCGCAAACTTAATATGTTGTTTAGCATATTAAAATGAACCGATCCCCCCAAAAAAATTTCAACTTCTAATTATGTTGAGGTAACCCCTCTTTTCAGATCTCCGTTTCTTGGACTATATGGGTTTAGCATAAAGTTATTTTCTATTTAACTATCTACTTACTAATTATTATTATTGCTCAATAACAAAACAATAAATAAGATTTTTTTTTAAGAGTAAAAATAGAAACAGGAAAATGTCATTGCTAGAACGCTAGTAAGTAATTTGTTTGATAATGTTTTCTGTGGGCAGGGTTGGTTAAATAAAGGGTCGGTTATAATTGTGAAACGTTGTTGGCCGCCAAAGTACTAAAACTAGGCTTATGCCAATATGGACACGTTATGTTCTTATAACTAATTTTTTCATAGATAAATAAATTCTTCAGCATCTCATAAGGCCTTGTAGCAATTGATAAAGTACATCAGTTAGTTTCAGGATCGAAATTTTCTTTCATAATAACCCCCTTTACATTTTATGGAACGTATTTTTAAGAAGTGACTTCTTCTAGTTGATGGATATAAAATTTTTCATTTCCAATTATTTTTATTTCTATACACAGTATTGTTATGAAATTGCATCAACAACTCGGCCGAATTCTAAGAATCAAGTTGTTTACGTCTAGCGCCAATATTTGGGGAATTATATTGTACCTATTCGAGAAGTAGGTACCTACAATGTCGGCTACAATAAAAGCGCGCGGTTATTCAGTTAGAGTCAGTCTAAGTAAAAGCTTTGTTGGAGTCAGTCTTTATAAAAGTATTGTTGTTGTTGTAGTTAGTTTGAATTCGAGATTTGTTGCGTAGGTACATTATGATAAGTGATAAGTGAATTTATATAAGATCAATTTGTTCAACAAAACTTTGTTACTGTTTGTGAAGTGAGCTTACTGAACCTGGAATCTGTGACAGAGTATGTTGTTTTTTTATTGAAAATTTTATCTGAAATTTATTTTCTTCTTTCTATTCTTTTGCCAGTAAATTATACATCATCTTCTCTTCTAGAGCATTAAAAAAAAGTTGTTAGACCTTTTGAATAGGTAGTTACAGTATTCAATGCAAATTGATTTAATATCTCATTCCAGCATTTTGTTGCCTAAATGTGGTTATTCAACAGAAAACATTTTTCTCGCATATACTTCTCTAAACCTTCAAGCTACCATAGCTTTGTTGGCTTTATACGTCCACAATAGCCCTCACATTCTGGAAAATATATTCTACTTCTGCCCAATTTTTCAGCACATAAAGGACATAAAGCGCCTTCTTCAATAATTCGTCATCTTAGGTTTCTCTAATATTCGAATCCTCTTTTTCCACCTCGTCTTGTTCTGTCTGAATTTTTTCTCCTCTCTTGTCCATTAGCGAATTTATTAGACATCTCCTGCTGGTTGGTTTTCGTATCCTAATAATCGTCAATCTTTTTTTCGATTAGATCTTACATCTCTGGCTGTGATTACTTTCTGTTTTTTCACTTTCCATGCTATCAAACTCGTATCGTCAGTTTATTTTGAAGTTAAAGACAATATAAAATGCGTTGTTATGAAAGGTTAGTGTTTACCTGCAATTTCAAAGAATTCATTGATAGAAAGTAATATTGGCGGAAAAACCGGGAAAAATTTAATTGATTATACTAACTCAGCCATTGGGATATCCATAATTAATTCTTAATATAGTTTACGATATAATATAAAAAATCATTATTCAAACTAAAATTCCTCTCAATTACTCCTGACTACATATTAATATTTAATAATTTCAATAGAATTAACATACTCAATAATGCATGGGTTTATAAAATATCTTAAAGTATTTTAAAAAAAAACCTAACTTTTCTGCACTAGTCCTGAAAAGTACTTATGCAAAACCGTATGTCATAAGACTTATTCAAGTTCGACTCGCCAGTTTGATGGTATTTCTTATTATTTTATATTTTGTTGTTATCACATATTGACCTACATTTACGTTATTTATCCAATTTTTTTTTGCTAGAAATTACGGAATTGGTGAGATAAATCATAATTATTGCATTTTATGATAATAGGTTTTAATAAGCAGTTACTAGGATGAGTGTTATCTATGTAATATAATACATATAATATTTTTCCATTGATAGTCGAGTTGGCCGATTATAAGAAATTTAGCCAGTACCTAAACACAGAAAATATTTTGACAAAACAAACTTTCTAGGAAAGGAGATACGAATTTATCTGCTTCTTGTTTACCAAACTATAAATAACTCATCTCTTCTTCTTCCTAGCCGTTCCGTTCTCTATCCTCTGCCAAGTATTTCCAGCCCAGTTGGTGTATTTCTTAAGCACTCGTTGGTCTTGTGATCTCTAGGGTAATACCACTAATACCTATCATTCTCCCTTCCATTGCTCTCTGATGTACTTGCAGTATGTTTGGGATTTCCTTTGTGAGAGTTCATTTTTCGATTCCATAGGCAACTACTGACACTTCGTTGTAGACTTTCTTTTTCAGCTTCAAAGGATTCAAAGGTAATTTGGACCGGAATACGTGTCGCATTTTGCCATTCGCCGCCTATTTCAGTCGTACCTATTAATTTCGAACTTTTGATTGACTTTGCCAAGCGTTCCTGTCTTAGATACTTGATACTGTTGGTTTTCTATGCTTATTCTGTCCCTATATCTGTTTGCTCATTTATCATAAACTCTGTTTTTGATGTGTTCATTTCTAATCCGATCTTCTTGGCTTCTCGAAGTATTTAATTCTTCCAGCATGATTTCTAAGTCTATTTCGTTCGAGGCGAATATTACAATGTCATCAGCGAATCTTGAATTACTGAGGTTTTCTCCAGATATATTGATCCCTCCATTTTCTCAATGTAGTTCCTTGAGCACATCTTCGAGGATTAAGGTGAACAGCTTAGGTGACATTATATCGCCTGGTCTTACCTTCACGCCTCTTTTGATCTTCACTTAGTTTGTATCTTCATGCATTCTTTATTTTATTTTTGTTGTTTCTTCAATATTTTCGATCATGCTGATTATCGATGAATGCTAGCCATGTTGTAATGTTATATTCGGTCGTCTTTTCATTTAGTATTTATATTGTGTGAAGATGTTCTATAGTGCTGTAGCTCTTTCTATAGCCTGCCTGTTTTTTAGGTTAGTTATCATCGTTTTTCCTTTCTAGGCGGTTGATGAGTATTCTCATAGAGTTAATATATCTGAAACAGGAAGCTTATGAGTCCATAGTTTTCAAGATTTGATGGGTCTCCTTTTTTGTATATCAGAACGACGATGGCAGTCCTCCACTTGTGTTGACAACATTTATTAAAAAGTTGTTTTACAAGGTATTCTGCGTCTTTCAGCATTTTCGGTAGTATATCTTCCATTCCTGGGGCTTCTCTGTTGCTTAATTCGCTTAGCGGTTTTGCAATTTCGTCCTCTTCTATATCAGGGATCTCTTCTGACTCAACACTTAGAATTTTAGATGTTTCGTTTTCGGTTTCTTGTTTGTTATTTTCGTTGTTATTTTTTACATCGTATAGTTCCTTATAGAAATTAAATTAATAAAAGTGGCAATATTTTATTCAGGGATAGGACAGGAAATGGAATGTTAAATATTTTTCCTACGAGCGTGCGCAAAGTAGTACTTTTCCGCAAGCATTTCGGTTCACAATGTTGCACTTTTCCGCACTCAGTGCGGATACAGGCCTTATCCGCACTGAGTGCCGAAAAGTAAAAATAATTGTCAAGCAACAATAAGTGCACCTGTCGACTTTGACGCATGATGACAAATTTTTCCTCTGTTTCTATATCAGCCAACATCTATACAAACACTAAATTTAATTAACTTTGACACATTGTCAGATTTGTTCTCTATTGATATGCAAGAATCTACAAACTTTCTCATCAAATTTAAACGTTTTAAGATAAAGGGCTCTGACGATGATTTTCTGTTATTTTTTTTTTGTTATGTAGTTTTTTGATAAAATAAATATTTTCTACTTGCGTGCGCAAAGTAATCACTTTGCACACTTATTTGCGTGCGCAAAGTTGAACTTTGCGCACTTATTTTTGTTACGCATAATTAGGTACCATAATTATACTTGATTTTTCAATGTTTTGATGGTTTCTGAATAAACTAATATTCAAAATCAAAGCTTTTAATTGAAATTAACGCTTAGTTAACATGATGTTTCCTATCAAAGGTGTCCAAATTGTACCAGTCTGTACTGCTAGGAATTTGTAAAATTTTTGATATTTGAGAGACTCTAATGAAAATATTCTTGCTGATTCTAGAAATTCCAGAAGATGTGGTGAAAAGATTTTTGGGTATTTAATTTAAAAAACATTTTGAGGAATTCCAATAGATTTTAAATGATTTTTGAAGATTTTGATTTGATTGATTTTTCTGATATTTTAAGAATTCAGTCTACTTTTTTCAGATACTCGTAGAAAAAATATTGTTCCTAACACTTGCGCAAAGTGTCTTTCCCGCACTCAAAGCTTATCCGAACTCCGCTTCGCGTCGTTCGTCTAACTGCTTTTTCGTGCGGGAAAGTATCACTTTGCGCACTTGTTAGGAAAATAACTATTGTATATGATGTTATTTTCGTAGCTATTGATAGTGTTGTACTTTAAAAAAAAGGAATCAGCCAAAACATTCCCGATATGGTTTCCTGCTAACCTCAAGAACTGTATAACTCAGAAGAAAATTGCCCACTAAAAAATTAAATCACTCAATCAATGGATGATTATCAGGAGTTTGATATGTCGAGGCGTTTGTGCAAAAAACTTCCTCAGAAATCTTATAATAATTACATCTAACTGAAATTGCGATCAGCACCAATGATCCTGCGTTATCAATAAAAGGAAAATAACGGTTTTCCTTCTGAACTTAGCTATCTAGACCAATCAAGTGGCTCTAGTAGGCGGGGATATTGCTAACATGGTCATGGCCATTTTTCAGATACCCCATTCACTAAAATGATGTGACCTCTAATGAACAAAATTAAGATTAAAGCCAAAGTTAAAACAAACAGAATTTTTTTAGCTTCAAAAAGAAGTCTAGAAACATAAAATCATGACAAATCTTTTAATTAATACTCGTCTATATGTCCTATCTAAATCTAAATGTAATTTTCTTCTTAAAAATTTTGATTTCTTTTTCTGTAACAATTGCTATATTTAGGCCAAGGCAGATAAATTTTTTCGTAACATAAAATTTAACAGCAAACTATCGATGCAGTATTGTTAAGGATCATTTAAAGATGCTAAAAACCAAAAATGCAACATCTAATTACTTTTAGAGGATTTTATAAGCAATATTTAGTGCAAAAATAGGGCTTTTTTTGTTAATTTCACTGTATTTCGAAAACTAATGATCGGATGGTTTTGCTACTATGGCAATAGTTTTAGAGCATTGAACAAGCTTTAAAATGAGCCATCATACAGCCCTGTAGGTCTTTTAGTCTTCGAGAAATGATTTTTTTCCCCCAAAAAAAGTAAAAAATTCCTAACTTTTTTAATTTTCATGCTAGACAATTAATTTTTCACACATACATAGTAGATGAGGCGGGCTTTATTGAGCCCAAATTTGGGCCCGGTCCGATGGGTCGTTTCGGCATAATACCCTTGTCAAGCAAAATGGGGATGTTTCTAAAGCAGTCTGTCGAATTGAGGATAATTTTTTTATATTTATTTTGAAAAGTCCACTGATAAGTCGAAATGCCAAACTATCGATCCTCTATCTCAGATTTTCCATTTAATTTTTTTATCGCAAGTAAAACGGCTCCAAACATCACTGAGAATGGAAAAAAAAATGTAATTTGCGTGGGCGGGGGGAGCTCGCTGTCACTCCGTTTGAATTCCCGTCAATTTTTTCCATTTTCAGTCATGTTCGAAGCCGTTTCACTTGCGATAAAAAAATTACATGGGAAATCTG